TCCTATTAACTATATCACTTATGTAACTATTTATAATGTATTATGTAAATTAATTACGTTATGATAATCCTATTACAATATAAGAGGTAATCAGTAAAAAAGAGAAAAATCTACTTTTTAGTCAAAAAAATTATTTTATTAGTTCTTCTTACTGATCATGATCATATAAATAAAGCTAGCTTAATAACTAAAATTACTTAAACTTTGTAAATTTCCTTTTTTTTATTAACTATTTTTCATATATTTTTATATAAAGTATTTTAATATTTGTTTATTTAATAATTGAATTGATATCGATTAACTTTAATAATTATATAAAAGTTTATGATAAAGTTTTAGATTTAATAATAGTTCCTATTCCTTAATATATATTTATTATTAAAGTATTTTTAATAAAATTTTTTTTTATATTTTAAGAGATTTTAATATTATAAGTAAAATTCAAATATAAATAATAATAAAATTTATTTATTTATATATAATTTATTATTTTAATTAATATTATATTATCTTATTAGTTAAACTTATTTTATTATATAAAAAACATTTTTCTTTTAAATCATTAAAATATAGTATTATTATTTTCTATTTAAATTATTATTTATAAAAATATTTATTTAATTTATTTTTGACAATTTTAAAATTTTAATTTACTATTTATTTATAATAATTTTTTTTATTTAACTTTCAATGAATTTTGCTAAATTAAATTAAATTAAAATTAAAAATTAAAATTAAATTAGTTATTAATATTATTATGAATTATATTATAATTAAAAAATTTTTATAATAATATATAAAAAAAAATAATTTATAATTTATAGTTTAACTAAATTTAATAAAATATATTATAGTTATAATTTTCAATTAACTATAATATAAAATTTTATATAATATATAAATCTATTTTATTAATATTATATTTTTGATAATAATCTTAATAAATCAATTATTACATAAAAAATAATTCTAAAATCAAATATACTTATTAATTAAATTAATTAAAATAAATATAATAAATAAATTTATAATTTTTATAATTTTTCATGAATAATAAATATTTTGTATAGAATATTATGATTTTGATAAAAAAATACTTGTTTTTTTATAATATTTTTTAGAAATTTATAAATATATATTTATTAATAATATTTTAATTATAAATTATCTTTTAAGAAAATATCAAAAAAAAAATTAATGATTTTATTATTTTATTAATTATAATAAAAATGACAAAACATATTATATCACCTTTTTTAAAGTTTAATACTTTACCTAATTCATTATTATAATACATTTAACTGTTTTAACTTTTATTTATTAATACAAATTTTAGCTTATAATCATACTTATTATATATTTTGTTATAATAATAATAAGTTAAAATGCTTGCAATATCTATTATTTTTATAAAATAATATTGTAATAAAAAAGTGAAAAACAGACGAAAAAAATAAAATATGAGTTAATGTTAAATTTAAACATATTTTAACCTAAAAATCATCATCATATTTAACATATAAATAAAATGATTTTTACTGAATTTTTCTCCTTTTCTATTGCAAAGGTCCATATAGTTAAATTTAAAATGTTGTTTTTACTTATTGATCGGTATGCATTTCATTTTATTATTCCATTTGTTTGAGAAACTGAATATGTAAAGAAAACTTTTTTTTTTTTTTTGTTTGAAATAAGAGAGGGAGAGAATATCTGAAATTTTATTAAATTAGTAAAAAAAGAAAGAAAAGTCCTTCTTTATATGAAATTAAAATACTTTCTTTAAATGTATCAGAAAAAAAACGATTAGCAAAGGCTACGTTGTGTGTGATTTTCTAAAAAAAAAATCAAGTTTTTCTATTTTCACTATAAATCTAAAAAAAAAAAAAACCCAAGTATGCCTTATTTCAAGAAATAAAATAAAAATAAAATATTAGAACTTCTTAGTATAATCGGATTCCATATTGATTTAAATAAATAAATAAATAAATAATAATTTACTTTACATCCAGCAACATTAAATACGGCAAATAAACTTTAAAAATAATTCAATGACAGGATTTAATATATATGACATTAATAAATGCTCATTGTATTATGCTAATGCTCCTCGAAGAAGAGATATAAAACAAAGTAAGCAAGAATGGTCCCTTCGAGGCGACTCATGCAAAAGACACCTAGTGTTATTGAACCCACTTAGATATGATCCGAGTAAATATATATTGAATATCTGCAGTCTCCTGGAACTTCGGGTGTACTATCCGGTATGTATCGCATTTGAGTTTAATGAGCCACGTATCATAACTTTCAAAAAAAATCATTTATATATAAAAAACATGAATAGCGAAATATATTTATTAATATCGTTATATTACACGACGCAAATTTTCGCGTCAAAATTTGAACACGATTGACTGATAAAAATTGAACGTGTTGTCTGTAACAGATTTGACTTGATTGAAAATTTTTTTTATGGTTTAGATTAAAAAAAAAAATAAATAAATAAATAAATAAATGAAATGCTTTTTAAAGTGGTCAAATTAAATTTTAAGGTAATTCTTATTTAATATTATTATTTTGGTATCACAAAAATTTGAATGCTGGTACTAGCTGAAGATATATTAATTAATATCGAAACTTCTCGGGGTTATTCAAGGGAGTTACATGTTTCAGTAACCACGCATTCATATGTAATGCATAACGCCAACACACGTTTACATAATTCCAATGTAAGTCATTGTTAACTGACAGAATATAAACGCGATTTGTGAAGGACATCTCTTTCGTCGTACTTAAAAGTAATGGATTAACATAACAGAGACCTAGTAAATAAACATGCAAAATAAATAAGCAAATGATATTCGAAAAGTAATAATTGAATGAAATCAATTCTATTCCAATCTCCCCGCTTCATCTTGTACACCTGAATTAGAACTTTAATTAGGAACCATTCTTCAAAATGATTGTAGGGTCAATAGGTTAATACTGTAGGATTTACTTTTGGTATACCAAAGACGAAACTCTAATTTCTTTTTTTTTTGGATAAAGCGGCTGTGCGCATAAACGTAACCCTCCTGCCGTGTGTGCATGATCGACATTTGTCACACAATAATAATGATAAAATCACATACTTTCACAGATTTATTCAAACCAACTCTTCAAAATGAAGACTTTTAGCATAAAAGAAAATGGAATCATAGTAAATTATAGTGATGCGATAAATTTAAGAATAAATTATCCAAACGATAAAAGAATTAAAATCTCCAAAGACGGATCAAAATTTATTAAAATCGATCATATTAAGAATGATCATTATAAAATACAAACAAAATGGTTAAAACCTCTTGGTATTTTAATTGCTAATTACTTACGACAAAAACATAACTTACCCATTAGAGAAGGTAGATAAAAAGTATTTTAAGGGACTAATTCTTTCATCCTTCATGAAATTAATTCCTTTGTTATTTTTTTTTACCTTTTGCAGATCAAGAATATCTTTTGAATTTCCCTAGCGGATATGAATTTTTTGATTACGTAACGTACAACGATACAAGTCTGACGACTAAAGTTCGCACGGACAATTACTTATTCGGTAACTTTCACTAATCTCTCACTTGCATTATTTTATTAAACCATTAAGTAACCAACTTTCCTTTCCTTTTTCTTTAGGAAAATACAGATTTCGCTCAACTAATGAATTCTTACCTCATTTAATATGGATGATCTCAGATAAATCTGAAGAATGTGAATGTTGTTATTGTCCAAAGAATAGTCGTACGGCGAAAAAGAAGAGAGAATTGGAAATATCCGCTTCCACTTCTTTAGAAAACACCATGAAGAAACAAAGGATAAATAAATTAACACCTTTGTCATTACTTTCTATTTCCACCTTACCAAATAAATATTCCCTAATTAATAAATCACCAACTATTTCCTTTAATTCAAAAAATACTTTGCCAAAATTTTCTTCTCTTGCGCCATCTTATAACAATGATTCATCTTTACAAAGGGTTTCGTTTTATTCACCAAATAATCCTCAAATATCAAAAATTTCATATTATTCCTTGAACAACAATAATCACGCTACTTCTTCCCTCGTAAAAGAATCCAATTCCTTTGATCATTTGTGTAAAGCACAATATAGAGTAAATGAAATAGTTTGGATTTGTTTACTAAGTGATGATTCAATGGAAACCTTTGAAAACATTAACAAGGTTATCACTAATCATAATGCCAGGATCCCTTATTGGCCTGCTCTTATAACAAACTCAACATTTAATACATCGGTTTCAAAATATGTTTATACCGTTAAATTTATTTATCTCGTCGTTGAAGAGATCAATGTATTAGAGGATTATATTTCTCCTTTCTCCTTCTCTTTGGTAGACATCACGAATAAAATTCGATCAAATCAAGTAAAAGGTAATTTTTTTCAAGAACAAGCAGTTTATACATATTTATTTATTTTATATTTACCAATTTTTTATGTACCTCTCCAAAGTCATTTGTCATTCTCATTATAGATATTTGGAAGTGATTTCGTGCGTAACACATTTAAAGAAAACTTTTACGTTATATTCTCCATCATATGACGCAGAGAACAACTTGTATCACTACGACTCCATCTTGATTGGTGCCGAAGAAATCACTTTAGGTGATACGGTTAAACTTGCATCAACAACTGACCTATTTATAATCAAAGATATTACAAGCGATTCAGATAGAGATAATGTAAAGTTCATCGGTAATTATGTATTAGACGACAAAGATGATAAACAACAACAATTACCACCACAACACCTTTCACAAATCTCAATTAATATAAATCAAATTGGTGGTAAAAATTACACTAGATTTCCAAGTATACAACATGATGAAATAACGAGAAATCTAATTGATATGAACGAAAGGGAAAATTTATTTTCATCGCAAATGAATGAATATTTTAGAAATCTTTTACATCGTGAATTAAATATTGAGAATTAAAATATTTATGTTATTTATTAGACGTCAATATCTAATACGGCCATTACCCCTCCTACAAGATGTAAACTTCCTGTAGTCAATACTTGAATCTCTTTCTTTGTTTGTTGATAATGTTCTCTTATCCATATAATACTTCCTTCAATCGTTGAAAATACGTAAGTTTTACTATCAATTGGATTGTCTACTTTAGAATTTAATAAACTCCACGTTTCTGCCATTTGTTTTTGTAATGTTAAATTTTCATCAATTTTAATCACGTTGTTTTGTAAATCTGTAAATAATAATCATAATTAAATAAACGATTTAATAGATAATCTATAAAACAAATTTATTACCATACCTGGCTTAAATTTATTCGATATAAAAGTGACATTCGTGCAAAAAATCGCGTGATCAAATTTAATAAAAGGTGTAATTTTTTTCAAAATTTCTATTCCATCTCTAGTACTATTAAATAGTAATATCCTTTCAACATCATCATCTGTCTTCAATGCTACATCTTTAAACCATTCGATGCATGCCTATAAAATAAATTGATAATTTAAGACATAATCAAAAAATATCTCTCTTTAAATGATTTTATTCATACCTGTGTACTTTCTAATGTATGGGCTCCATCAAAATACCAAGTTATACCCTGGTCTTGTGATAATTTTAAGACTTGTGATCTTCCGGGCCAAGAAACTTGAACCAATCCCGGAATAAACTCCTTAGGAATTTTTTCTGTTAATTTAATGCCTTTTTGTTTCTCTAACCAAATCCGGCACAATTCAATCGCAAGCGATGCATTTGTAAATTGATGTTTCCCTGCCAATCCTATAAAATGATTAAAATTGAATTATTTATATTTAATTAATTATTTATTTATATTTAAAAAAAAATATGATGGTTAATAAACAATATACCAAGTTTTATTCTTAACCTATCTAACATTTCCTCATTTAATGATTTAGTTGAGATAAATGGAGCCTAAATAGATAGATGGACAAACGGGTATATATCGATATGCTAAAAATATTTTTCACTAATCTCTTACTTACATTAATTTCACTTGCGCGTTTCGTCATTATTTCAATACTAGATGCTGATTGTTCAACTGTAATAGCTGGAACATTTTTCTAAAAATTATAGAATTAGACTTAGAATTCACATAAAAGAATTTATAACTTTCCATTATAGACTTTTTTTATTATACCTTGAAAATACCACTCTTATGCCAAGTTATCGATTCTATTGTATCACCCAAAGATTTTTGATGATCAAGCCCCAAAGATGTTACACCACACACAATTGGTCTTTCAATAATATTTGTTGAGTCATATTCGCCTCCAACTCCAGTTTCTATTATAGCTACATCAACCTGGTAGGGGGGAAAAATCAATTTAGAAAATTTCACTTTATTCATTGGAACAATTACCCTTCGTATATCATACGTTCTCTTTCATAAAAACATGAAAAGCCATCAATGTAAGAAATCTGAAATAATTTGGCATGGTAGGTCGACTATCGTCTTTCTATCGTAAGGATGAGATAGGAATGTTAATCTACAGTTAAATTATATCGACCAAGAACGATTTTACCTTTTTGTTCGAATAAAGTTTATCCCAGCATTCAAAAAAATATTTTGCAAACATTTCTTCGCTCAATTTATTTCCATTCAAACGAATCCTTTCACGAACTGCAACAAGATGTGGCGAAGTATAAAGACCTTTGACGAAATCAAAGTCGATTGAGAATTTTTAAACCGTAAAAAAATATATATATATATATTTATCAAAAAAAAAAAATATATATATAAATAAAAAACCTGTACGAATCTGACTTTGATTATAATGTCTTAAGATTGATTCTACAAATGCACTTGTTGAGCCTTTTCCCTTTGTACCAGCAATATGAATAACATTTAACCTATCAAAGTCACTAGGCTTTTTATTAGATAAGATTTAAAATTTAAAATTTAAAAGAGTTGTTATTAATACATTAATTGATTGAAACATATAATTGATTATATTTACCTCATATCCGATCGTTCTACAAAATTCCCTTAATTCCGGCAAACTTTTTCTATTCAAACTACCACCGGAAGCACGAATAGCTTCTAATATCGCTGAATTTGTTTGTAAAGAATTTAGACTATTTACCGCGTCCTTATCATGATTTTTTTTATTAAAAAAAAAAAATAATAATTTATAAATATCCCGAAATTAATAAATAAATAGATATAAAAATTTGAAAGTTATAAAAAATGTAATACATTATAAGTGCGATTGTCTTGCATGGTTGAATTTTTAGTAGAATTTTTAGTAGAATTATACTTTTTATGACAAAGATTTATTGTAAGATTATAATAAAAGTTCCGAATATTGCTATGAAACAATGTTGCACCTTTTTGCATTCGTTTTTTCTTTTTTTTTAAAAAAAAAAAAAGGATCGAAAATATTGATTTTCTGAGGCTCATCTTTAACGTTCGAAGACTTCATGTTGATTGGCCGATTGATCAGGTTACACAGATTTTACCGTATATTGCGGGCCAAAGTACCCCCCCTATGTATAGTACCCCCTCAAAAAATTTTCGCGTGATTTTAAAGTACCCGGATACTATACACGA